GCCAGTGCCAATCCCCCAACTCCACCCCAAACTCCACCCTTTCCTTTCAACATTCCGCAGGCAACATAATACCAGCATTATGAGCAGAGCATGCCAAAGGGGATATCTGCACATTGTTATACACTAGCCATGGAATTGCTTTACCCCACAAGCATACGGGTCTCCCTGTGTAATCGGGGCAGTTCCTTCAACTATATTCATGGGCAGGGGATCGCTTAGCTTTAAAGATTCACATCGTAAGTACTTTTGCTGGTAAATTGATCTTTAACTGCTCTTCCATCTGTAGGTCTCACTCGTCGTTGAGATGCTGCCCTTGGCTCAGCCTCAGCTGCTAAGTGCATGGCGCTCCCCCCCCCACACACCCACCTAAGCCACGTTCATCCGCTGCTTGAGCCCCGTCTGCCTTTCCGCTTTTCATTTATGTTTCTCCTCTGCCTTTGCTCTCTGTGTATTAAGTGCAAGCGACTGAGCAGCGTAGCTCGTACCTTCAAGGTATTTTGACTTAATATTTAAATTATATTTTAATATTTTTGCTTCGCTCTCGACAAGAGCAAAGACAAACAAGTGCTCTCTGGCTCTGGCGCTGGCTCTGCTTCTGCTTCTGCCTTTTCCTTTTCCTTTTGCTGGCTTCTGTTTGGCGCTGCTCTTTTTGTGTGTGTTGTTTGTGTGTGTGTGTGTGTGGCTCTTGCTGCCTTTTGGCTTATGCTGTACGGTGTACACCGGTGCGTATGCGTGATTTGGCATTTTTGTTTCCATTTTGAAATATTTATGGTATATTTAAGCATATTTTTGTGCCGTTGAATAACGTCTAGTGTCTAGACTTTACTTAAATCAAGAACAAAAGCGCACAAAATAGCTGCAAGCCAAGTGTCGGAGAAATGTAAATCCCATTTGTGTGCCATCAAGCCAGGAGTAGGCGATGCGGAGTGGGAGTGGGAGTGGGAGTGGCCAATAACCTTGAGAGACCAACGAACGAAGACGCAAAACGATAAAGAAGTGAAATTCATGGACTGCCTGCTGCTGGCGGGGAAGGGGGTTGTGGTACGTACGTATACGTACCAGGCCTGCTGGCACTTAAAATGCACTCAACTAAAATGCCACAAATGTTGCAAAGAGCCAACAAAACATCAACAGGCCATGAGGCATCAACTGGGACCCTTGGTAAACGCAAACAGCAAACAGCAAGCCAAAGAAAAGGTCATTGAGGCAAAACGTAAACGTAAAGGAAAATACGAAATGAAAATAAAACTGCAAATAAAATTAACACGCACATGAAAATGTGCGAAAGCCAGACGGGGGGCTCCAGCTACGCTTCACTCGTAGTTTCTGCGACTGATGCGAGGGTCAATCGAGAGATTTGCTCAAGGGAAAACTGGCAGAGAAAAATTAAACGGAGAAAATTGATGCATGATTTTCTCCGTTCCAGGAAGCATATTTCAAGCGTATAATTTATTTTACTTTATTTTATTTTTATATTTATTATATTTATTTTTCTTTTTATTTTTTGCTTCTAAAAATTCGCACAAATTTAAATTAATTAAATGGGAAATAAAATCATTGGGCTGCAATCACTTTTCGTACCTCACTTTGCCTCACCAGTCTCGAGGACACGCCTAATTCATTTTTCCATAACATTTTGATGCACATTAAATCAAAATTGCTATGGCACCGCCCCACCCCTGCCACCCTGCCACCCTGCCACCCTACCACCCCACGACGACGCTGTGTGTCCCCTCCAGGAGCCTCTTTAGACCACTATGCAGAGAGCTGCCTAAGTGCCGGCAGCTACTACTATCGCTTGGCAGCTCTCCGGCAAAGTAAATTTATTTAAGTTAAAAGTCAACACCACACACACACACACACGTTCCACCTATTGCTGCCCCCCCAGGGGTGCACATTTGCACACTTAATGTCATACTTGGACCCGTGCCCCCCCCCCCCTCCCCCCTTGGCACCCAGCAGCCACGCCCATTTACTTTGGTAACGCCATAAAGTATACAATGCCATTGGTAATAAACCGCAACGCGTCATTGGCACTCTTCAGGGCAGCCCCTGCCACGCCCCTGCCCCTGCCCCTGCCACCAGCCTGCAACCACCACCTTATACTCTCTCCAGTCTCCCCTGCGGTTGCCGTTCGTCCAGCTGGCCTTCGTCCTTTGTGTGCTGGCTTCCATGTGGGGGTCTGCTGCTGCTTCCACTTCCTGGAAGTTATGTTGCATACACCAAAAGGCGTTCGCCTTTTGTGTCCAACTTATTGACGCGAGCACTCCGCTGACTGACTTTCAACTGGAAGGAGGGGGCAGTGTAAGGGGGGGAGGCTATGCCCAGAGTTGGGGGCTCTGCCTTGAATGCATGTGAACGTAGACATGGATGCAGACGATGCCCCCCACACACCACCGACTGCCACTTCCTGCTGCTGGCCATGCGCCATGCTCCTGCTCCATGCTCCACTGCTCGATGGCGTTAATGTTTGCCCCCCATCCACAACGTACGATATATACAGTTACTATATATAATGCATAACATTTACCACTGCCAGACGTTGTCGCTCATCAGGGCCCTGGTTCCCTGGTCCCTGGTCCCTTGTCCCTTGTCCCATCCGGCATGGGTTCGGTTCCTTTGTTGCGTTCTTGTCAAGGTGTTGATATAGGCGTTGGCTTTACTGCCACTGCCACTGCTGCTCCCTCTGCCACTGCTGCTGCTCCTGTTGTTTGTTTGATTATTGATTGACCGCTGAGCTGGAAACCAGAAGAAGACCCCACAAACGAGCCCAACCTCAGTTAGGGGGAGACGTTCCATAAATGAGACCAGAAAGTCAAGTGTACTCCTGGCGCTACTTCAACTCCTTCTAAAGATAAGTCGCAGAGAGAGGGGTAGATGCCACACCTCCTAAAGATATGCCTGATAGCTCTCATATACCCCGCCACCCCATCAACGTGCCGCATGCCACATGCAACATCATCATCATCATTCTCATGCTCATCGTTGAAACTGCCGCCATAGACAAGCAAGTTTAACAAGCTTTTTATCAACCTTAACACCCAGTCATAAGCCCCCCATTCAGATTATTCATTCACTAGCGGAAGTTTTTCACACGCTTCGCCATAAAAAAAAAAAGAATGCCAAGAGAGAGCGAGAGAGGGGGGAGGGGGAGGGGAGGGGAGGGGAAGAACCCCCAGCTAGCAACTTGAACTTCATTGTCACACACAAAAAGGGAACGATGGGGGGGGCGGGCAGGCAGGCGAGAAACTCTAACCCCAAGAGCGTGCAACATTATGCAGGGAGCGCCTCGAGTGCCTCATGTGCATGTCACTTCGATCACTGCGCAGATTTAATCAACTATCCATCCATCCAACCATCCAGCCAGGCGCACCCCACCCCGCCACCCTCCTGGACACATCCTCAGACTCAGACTCAGACTCAGACTCAGATTCCGAGTCTTTCGCAGCAGTTCGCTGCGGGCGGGCACCAACCGATGCGATGATGTGGCGTGCTCTATTATATTCATATTTTATAGCTACTTACATTTTACAGCCCCATGCCAGAAGCACCAGAAGACCCAAGACCCAAGACCGAAGCGAAGCGCTGCTAAACCCATTTTATCCGCTGCCTTCCCGCCGCCCCAGGAACCCAATTGCTGGAGTTATTCTGCTGCTTGGAATTTATGTATGTGTGGATATATAGGGTGTGCAGAGGGCGTAACAGTTGGATGGTGGGTCTGGCAGGCCATGGAGAAAATTGTGACTTATTTTAGCAGTTTTGGGAGTTTAATTGGGGAGTTTAATTCCACCTCTGCCCCACTCTTATTATTCTCATTTTTCCCTCTGTTTCTTCCTCTCTGACTCTAACTCTTTTTCTGCCTCTGTCCCTTTATCGTTGCGTGCTAAGTCTGGCCAAAATAAATTGCCAAATCATGCCAACATACATACATACATACATATGTGTGTAGATGACTGTGGCCCTTTCTTTTAAGCCACAACAGTTCCCCATTAATAAGCATCCCTTAGTCGATACTTTTAGCATTTTGCTGCTTAAGTATCTTTTTCTTTTCTCTTCTTTTCTTTTCTTTTCTTTGGCTTATTCCATTGTTGTGCAAATATTTTTTAGTTCGTCGGCACTTTGAACGCCTTTGCTGCTTCTTCTCTCCTTTACTTTTTTCGCCCTTTTTTTTACTGGTGTGTGTGTGTGGAACGCCACCCACTATCAGCCTATCAAACAGTGCCGTTGTCTACTTTTGGTTTGGGCTGACAGTCGTCGGCGTCGTCGTCTCTGTTGCCACTTTCTGTGCGCTCTTTTTTTTGTGCTTTTAACATGTCTTTTGTCATTTTGTGTCATTTTTGCAGTATATATTATTATATTTTCTTGCATCCGCATGCATCTACTGCTGGAAGCCAGAGAAAAAGTAACACAGACTGGACCGAAGTAGAGTGTAGGATTGGGGGCGTGTGTTGGCTGCCTGCCTGCCTTCCTGCCTCGTGACGTCTCAGCCACGTCCACTTTGCGCTTCATTTCATAAAAATGCATCAACCGCAAGTTTTTTGCTGCACTCCATCCTGGTCGCCCTGTCCGAGGCCCGGCCCTGTCTGTGTCCTGCAGGCGCAGGACAAGGGCCGCAACGTGGCTTGGCTGGCTGCCTTTGTTGTGGCTGTCGTCGGCTGGCTACTTGGCTGCCGCTTGCTCAATGCAATTGGCGCAGCAAATTCCATTACACGTCTACATTTGCCACTGTTCGCCAGGCAATTTCGTCTAATTTCATTTTGAGCAGCAGCAGCAGCAGCGGAGGGAGGGCAGCACTGCAGTTTCTGCTGCTGCCAGTCAATCATTGTGACGAGCATGCACTGAAATCTAACTAACAAAAAGTTAACCACAACTTGAAACGAGTTGCAACAGTTTTCGAAGTGTAAACTGGCTTTGAATGCCACTTCTTGCACTTCGATGGGTGCAGAATGTTTGCCATGTATTATCATAAATGTGCTTTACAACACTGCTAAAACAATCCCTGTGCAACACTTGATTCCTTGCCATTAATTTGGGATACAACTGTCAATTATTTGTGGCATTATTACTACGAAATATTCATCCAAAAAAAAATACATACACAATGGTGAGTGGAAATCTTCAAACTGACATTGAAAATAAATTGTATTTTCCCTTCCTGCAAGTCGGCAATATTTCACTTCTCTGGCATGCTGTCTGTGCTGCTGTTACTCATCTGCACCTGCGCCTATGTGCGTTCGATGGTGCCACAGCTACTCGATAATCATCGCACCGGGTAAGCCGCGAGTGGGACGCTCGACTCCTCCACTTGGCATTAAATCAGTTCACTTGCTTCCCCATTTAGATGGCAGGGTGTCTTTTGGAAGATGGCAAGGATTGGCGAGCGCCTCAGCCCCTATGTGGCGGGGGCATGTCTGCTGCAGGCCTTTGTCGTGCTCATTGGCGTCTGACGAGCAGCAGCCGGGCAGACGGACAGGCAGTCAGACAGCCAGGCAGGCAGGCAGGCAGTCAGGCAGTCAGGCAGAATGAGGCCTGGAAGACAGAAAGAGTAGCTGGACTGACCAGCGATTGGCTTTTTGCAGCTGTAATCAATATGCAAACAAACCATTTGCCACAATAATTACAAAGTAATGCAGCGCCCGGCGCGAAATGTAAAAATAAACGCCAGCTGCCCCGCAATTCGCTTGATGACTTGCTACCCGGGAAAACAGTCAAATGGGGTTTGTCGGTTGGTTGGTTGGTTGGTGAGTTGGTGGGTTGTGGGGTTGGAGTATGGGTACTGGGGGGCTTTGTGGCGTAGCATATTGAGGCCATGCCAGCGGAGTGTCTGGTCGGAATGACGACCGATGCGCTCGCCAATGATGAAGCAATTAATTTGCAATTAAATCGATGATGCAATTGCAAATAAGCGCAGCGAAAAAGAAGCTACTATAAACTGTAAAAAAAAAAAAAAACAGAAACTGGCAGGAAGGAGGAAGAGCTGGCAGAGGAGGTGGGCATGGCAGTGGAGCAGCAGCAGCAGAGGCAGCGGCAGAGATAGTGAATGGGATCAAGTGAATAATTGAATGCTCTTGAGGCTGAGCGAGCGAGAGAGAGAGAGGAGATGAAAGAGGAGTGTAACAACCAGGATAACTAGGGGAAACCTATGGGCAAGAGGACAGATGCAGACGAAAGACTTGGGGATGGACTTGGAAACCCTGCAATAAATTGCACCATCGATCGATCGGTGTGCTGATCCTCGATCTATCGTGGCAATTGCCAGTCCCACATCAAATGCAACCTTAGAGCTGCTAAAGTAGAGAAGAATCATTCTTGGAGCCTTAACCTTTGACTGCCAGATTACTCGTATTCCCCATTGTTTGCTTGTAGGGCATCCAACTGCTCTGTGTGTGTGTGTGTGAGTGTGTTTGTGTGTGTGTGTGTGAGTGTGTTGTGTGTGTGTGTGTGTGGGTCAAGATGGACGCAGAGCAAACCACTGCACTGCGTATGCAAAGGGCAGAAAAGTGGCAAAATTAATGTCCACACCAAACGCATATACAGAGGGAAATGCCACACACACACACACACACACACATACACAACAAATGTTGCACATGTTGCATGGTGAGAATGAAGTTAACGTTGAAAGGGGGGGGAGGGGAGCGGGCCGAGCCAAGGCTGGATGGATGTGCATTTTTCACGCTGTTTTCCACCATCAAACCGAAACTGAAAATCGATCAGTTTTTAAGCCTCTCTGCCCCTCCGCCACTCTGCCAATTGGGGAGGGAATCTGCATGTGTATGAGTGTGAGTGTGTCTGTGTATTGTGTATTGGTATGCCTATGTGTGTGTGTGTGTGTGTGTGTGGCTACGAAACGTTTTTCCATCAACTTTGGCGGTTATTCAATTAAAAATTACTTTATTTGTAATTAAATCGTATACCAAACTCTGAAACCCCAACAGCTGCTCCACTCTGCCTCTCTCTCTCTCTCTCGCAGACAGTCTCCATATCGCTCTCTGCTGATAGCTCTATCTCTTTCTGTACGTCAGGCTGTGGGCAGCCATATTGGTTTTGTTTTGCAGCGATGCGGCAACTGTACTTTTGTACTTTTGTTAGCAAATCGCTTGGGTTGCATTTTAAAATGCAATTTGTTAGCATGGATATTGTTGTGTTATTTTTTTGTTGCTCTGTTGTTCTCTCTACTTTTATCTCTATGGGTTTCGCTAGCGCTACCTCTCTCTGTCCCTCTCTCTGTCTCTCTCCCTCTCTCTGGTGACTGGCACACAAATCACGGCAATTTATTTATGACACTATTTACAAGAAACGATGCAAGCAGGAGTGGTGGGTGGGTGGGGGGGCTTCGGCATCTGACAACAGCTGGCAGTTGCCGCCCATAAATGCAGAGACAACAAAATCGAGGTACACCCACACCTCCACTTCTCCACTCCTCCACTCCACTCCTTCGTCAGTGGGTGGGGGGGCATCCACGTGCACTCTACTTAAATAACAATTTCAATATATTGAAATTTACTTTGTCACATGAAAGCTAAACAGCTTGCACTCAGCGTCAGTCACAGCGAAGGAGTCGCTGGGCTGGCAACCAAACCGACATCGACATCGACATCCCACATACCTTCCACATGCCCCATGCCACATTCCCCATGCCCCATGCCCATATTCCCCCTGGGTGCCTGCCATTCTTGGGCGTTGGGTGGGTGCCTCAAAGTGTTGCAAAAGTGCTGCCATTGCAGGTTTTCATTTTATGCTACCTTAGTAAAATGGCTATATGTGCACTGCTTTAAAGGCTTTTTCCCCTATCTTTATTTATTTTTATTTGGTTAGCTGCTTATAACTACAAAACAAAAGGCATAACAAACAATATATTTTAAAAAAAAAAAAAGATGCTAAAATGGTTATAACACAAAAACTATTTGTATAAAAAAGTCAGGGAAAAATATAGAAAATGAACTCTGTTAATAATTAATGCCCATCTCCCTCAGCCGGGCCAGTTGTAGGTTGTAGTCAATCGGCCCATCTGGGTACTCAGGTATCACCCTGCTGCATAAACGGGCCCCAGATCCTCAATGGGTTTAAGTCCGCCAGCCGGCCACCATCATGGATGTGTAGGTCAAAAACATTGTACCGACTGATGGTCTACTTGTGGATGTCCTTGGTCACCATGGAAAGGCTCAAAGACACTATGTGATTAGGCTGGTATTGCCGATACAAAATATTGGAGCTCCACCAAAGGCAGCCCATACATAAGCGATCCACCGCCATGGTTCCGCTTGTACAGTTGTCGTGGAGCGCGGATCCCCCATTTATGATGGCCGTCTGGACCTCTAAATTGATTTCATCACTAAAAATTATTTAATCCCACGGTCATAAAAAGCCACCTATGCCGTTTAGTTAAAGGGGTTGCCAACTTTGTTTCGATGTGAGGTTCAATTTTCGTAATTGGCACGGCTGGTGATTGTAATCCGTTCTGCTTATTTGTTGCAGCTCATCTGTCTCGGTTGCTAACTACGTGTGCCGTTTTGTCCGGTTGCTGTGGTTGGACTGGCCAAGGGTTTAGCGGTAACCATCTGGTCTAAAATTTGGAATAGTATTTCAATGTGTTCTTAGTGAAGCGATTACCGTTTCTGCCGGCTTTATTCCGATCCCCTTGTCTTCCTCAGACAATCAGTACCACGAGGCTTCAACTAAAATGCAATTTTAGTAATTTGCGTGGTTTGAAAAATTGTATTTACGTACTAAATCAATCCCTGCATTCTAAACGATGCTAACACAGCCACTCTCAAAACATGAATAACTGGACTATAACCGTTTTCTACGTATAGCTCGACGTTATTTAAGTACGGCCCAGTGGAGTTCAAAAGCGAGTTATTAGCTGAGCACAAACATAAGGTAAGAACTGCATATTCAAAACAAACGGCAGCTATTACTTTTAAAGAAAATTGAAACAAATTCACATATACCTTACAGGGTATTTACATTTTCATATTTTTACTCCACGCCGCACCGCAAACAATTTTGTTGCCCGCCTGCCGCCTGCTGCCTGCTGCCTGCTGCCTGATGTTGTCCTACCGAACGGAGCTGCTAGTAGAGAGAGAGGGAGAGAAAGCAGTCGAGGTATGGATGGCTTTGATGATAGATTTGTTACATAGAAGTAGGGGAAATCTTCAGGTAACGCTTTTATATATTTATTATAAATCATTAAATTTATTTAAATTTCTTACTTATATTTTTCCTTTCTTTTTATTTTAGGCTATTAAATGGAGCAACAATTAAAGGTATTTATTACAAATATTTTATTTATTAGTTATTAATTTATTTATTATAAATATATTAATTAATATATATACCATTATATATTATAATTAATTATACATATATATAATTATAATATATCAATGGTTTATATTAATTAATAATATATAATTCTATAATATATAATTATTTTAATTATGTATAATTAATATATTACTAAGGACTCTTTTTTAGGTAATTTTTTCTACCAAAAATTCCCATAATAAAATTCGCACAAAGAGTATTTCCTGTTCCTTATGTTGCCTGCTATTTGTTTCTTCTTCTCCTTGTTATTCCCTTTTGCCATTTGCCAATTTTTTGCTATTCGTTTTTATTTTCAATTTTGTTATGTTCGGTTCCGTTCCACCTCCACTCGGTGGCTCTGCCACTGCCAGTGCCACTGCCTCTGTGTTTTTTGTGCCCATTTAGTCGTTGTCTGCAAAATTTTTAACGTACCAGGAAGAGTCTTCTCCACAATGCCAGAGCAGAGCAGGTGGGTGGGGGCATTGGGCATGGGGCATGGGGCGTGGCTTTAGGGGTCGGCGGCGGCGGCGGCATCCTTTCAAAAAGGCATCAGGTGTTGCACGTTGTGCAGCAGCTTATCTCAAATGATTTATAAACTACCAACAGTGGCGAGGCCAAAGCCATTGTCATTGCATAAAATATGCTAACAGTACAGGAGGAGCAGCAGGAGCAGCAGGAGCAGGATGAACAGGAGAAAGGAACAGAACAGAAACAGAAGAACAGCAGGAGCAACAGCATACAGAAAAAAGAGAGAACCAAAGGAGAACTGGATGGGGAGGCCAAATGACACAAAGTCCTCCTGTGTAATGCAGAAGGAGCAGCAGCAGGAGCAGCAGCAGCAGGAGATGGAGAAGAGATCTGTTTGTTTGCCTTTGCTTTCGGCTCGTTCAGCTCGTTCGGCTCTGATGTGCAAGTGGCAACTGAAGTTGCACGGCCAAAGTTGAAGTTGGCCAAAAGGTATTAGCTTACAAGTGGCAGAGCTCACTGGACACAGTCCTGAGCCGGAGACTGGACTCGCCGGCTCCCACAGCAAGAGGATGAAAGGGACTTAAAGTTTTGATGCCGTGTACCACCTGGTAACAGATGGCGAAATTTGAGGTAATTTCTGGTAAATTGAGAGTACAAAAAACCCCAAAAAAAAAAATATCATCGAATGAAGCAAATACGCCAGGATTGGAAGCAGGATCAGGCAACGGAAAAAGGAAGCTTAAAAGCACTCAAATTGGGGAATTTAGTAACCATAATGGCAGTCCGCCCAGTCCGACTCCCCCCCTTCAATGGCTCTCCTAATTATTTGGCCAATCCCAGGCAAGTCCCCCAAGCTGGGAAGGTCTTAGCTCTAAGTCGAGTTCATCAATGGCTGGCTTTAAACTGTCTGTAAGCAGCATATTGCTG